TTTTTTTACACCTGACTTTGGTTTGCTCCTTAATTTATGATTGATTGGCGAATAGCGCGTTTTTTTTGTTTCCTTCGATTAAGAACGAGTGGTAAGTCTTCTGAACTAACAGCAAATTGCACTAGTTTATTTTGTTAATAAGGGTAATACTTAAATACTGGTAGTCAAATAATATTCCATACAAAGTTCGTTGTTCTCACTGGCTTGCTAGTTTGCATGCACTGGTTTTGTTACTCGAGCGGTAAAAATTTCCACTTTAACAATGTTTTCAAACTTATACTTCACTTAGTTTTTTCAAAACTCTGCTGCTACAGTCAGATAAGGTACTGAATAATTCATTGAATTTCTTCTCCAAAATGTTAACTTTTTCTACACATTTAACTTCAATGCTGCTGTAATTTTCAATTCACAGTTTTCCAAAAAATCCTTCAAATGCTAGAATTTTTGCTTTGCGCATTTTTGTATTGCTACACATTTGCTACACTTTAGTTGCCTACTTCCTTTGAACAAATATGTTTTCGGCAAAATATTTTAATTTTTTATTTGATGTAGCAAAATATAGTGGAAACAATCACGTACCCGCGTTTTTTGGAATGCAGAATATACGCGCGTTGTCATATTTTACTGACAGCTAGCTAGGCTAATGTGTCGTGCTACTAACTGTAATGCTTTACACACAAAATTTTTGGTTGCTTGCTTCAACAACGACGAGACTACGACGAAACGAGCTAGCGAACGAACGAACGTGCGTGCGAGCGACGTTGTACCTTAGTCTACCATGCTAAAATCACAAATAATCTTGCAAACCGAAAGATACGTTCACAAAAGGCACACAGAAAAACGTTGAAAATGTGTTGGCTGCGTCCGCAGCACAGCAGCGTCGCTGCTGTCGTCGTCATCAACAAAGTGGATGTGCTATGTGTTGTTGCTAAAGCCACACACCGTACTCGACAATAGCACGAACACACGTACACACCAATGCAAATTAATGTTAGCAGCAGAGCTGACTCGCGTCTTGCTCTGCGTCTCTTCGCATCGTTCATTTCGTTGTGGTAATCTTCAGTGTAAGCGTTGCTCGCTATCTACCTCTTCTCGTATATGTATGGACGAATGTATATGTGCCTACTATACCCAACAATCAAGCAAGTCAGCGCTGCGCTAACGCTTCGTTCAACAGTCCAAATGACGGACAGTGAACGAGCCCAACGTTTTGTGTATACCTACCCTGTCGTCGGCATAGTCGTACACGTCGGAGCGGCACAGTAGGCATTTCGAGTTTTTATGGATCAAAATGAATATGTAGGTGAAGTAAAATTATAAAAATATTTTGTTTTCAAAACGCCTGCAACTGTTTGCATATGTTACATTGTATTTCTATTGAAGTAGAAGTTTATGAATATCTGTAGAATAAAGACAAATATAGCGCTTCAACATCTTATAAAGGGTGATTTTTTTGAGGTTAGGATTTTCATGCATTAGTATTTGACAGATCACGTGGGATTTCAGACATGGTGTCAAAGAGAAAGATGCTCAGTATGCTTTGAAATTTCATCATGAATAGACTTACTAACGAGCAACGCTTGCAAATCATTGAATTTTATTACCAAAATCAGTGTTCGGTTCGAAATGTGTGTTTTCGACAAATTTTGTTCAGCGATGAGGCTCATTTCTGGTTGAATGGCTTCGTAAATAAGCAAAATTGCCGCATTTGGAGTGAAGAGCAACCAGAAGCCGTTCAAGAACTGCCCATGCATCCCGAAAAATGCACTGTTTGGTGTGGTTTGTACGCTGGTGGAATCATTGGACCGTATTTTTTCAAAGATGCTGTTGGACGCAACGTTACGGTGAATGGCGATCGCTATCGTTCGATGCTAACAAACTTTTTGTTGCCAAAAATGGAAGAACTGAACTTGGTTGACATGTGGTTTCAACAAGATGGCGCTACATGCCACACAGCTCGCGATTCTATGGCCATTTTGAGGGAAAACTTCGGAGAACAATTCATCTCAAGAAATGGACCGGTAAGTTGGCCACCAAGATCATGCGATTTGACGCCTTTAGACTATTTTTTTGTGGGGCTACGTCAAGTCTAAAGTCTACAGAAATAAGCCAGCAACTATTCCAGCTTTGGAAGACAACATTTCCGAAGAAATTCGGGCTATTCCGGCCGAAATGCTCGAAAAAGTTGCCCAAAATTGGACTTTCCGAATGGACCACCTAAGACGCAGCCGCGGTCAACATTTAAATGAAATTATCTTCAAAAAGTAAATGTCATGGACCAATCTAACGTTTCAAATAAAGAACCGATGAGATTTTGCAAATTTTATGCGTTTTTTTTAAAAAAAAAGTTATCAAGCTCTTAAAAAATCACCCGTTATATGTGTGATTTTAAAAAAAATTCAGCCGCAGAAGTATTATATTATGAATCTTCAGATAACGGCCCTGCCAAAATTTGGCTGCCATCTCAAATAACTCTGAAGTGGAATTTAGTGAATCCTATTGGTTTAGTGCCAAAGTTGATTGCTGAAAAGGGTGCTTCTTACCCACTACTCCTTCCCATTATTAACATTTGCATATCACCTTCCTTGCTATTTCCATTTTATTTCCAGCCACAAAAGGATTTAGCCTACCGGAGAACATTTTTTAAAGAGTGACTCAGTTTTCAAGTCTTCATTACCTCTTCAAGAACCTTAAATGGACAGACTGAAAGGAGCATACTTTCAATACTATACACTTTCCAATATTTTATTATAAGGGAAAGTGGTGCACTGGCTCGATAAAAATTATTTCTTATTGCCAGTTGTTCAGTTCAGTTCAACCTAAACTGCGTAAATACGTTGACATTGCTTTCTTATATTTCCTAGATTATGAGAGCTTCGCGTGTGACGCTACTTCCAGAAAAATATCGGCAAATTGTTCACTTACCGATGACAAGTAACTCCGGAAAGATTCAGCTAGTACCTCGTAAGTATGCATTTGAGAAAAATATAATTGAAAAACCAATGCCTAGGAAAATTTACTTAAAGAGAATATCCATTGAATGGCCTACTGTGCCGCGCCGCAGTCATCGCAACTTGTCTGCATTGCATAGTACTCGTTGTTGGTGTTTTTGCTGTTATGGTTGCTTGTTACGAGTTCGTTCGCCAGCACAAGCAGCATAGCAGCGCCAGCAACAATATCTAAATATATGTACAGTATAAGTGCAAAGCATGCCAGACTCGTACGTAGAGGGGGTTCAGGTTATTTGAATTGTTTTAATTCAATTCGAAAGGTGCAAAAATTTAGTTAAAACGAATATGACTCTCGAACTGAGATCTTATGTTGGTGTAGAATTTAAATATTTTTTTACTTAAACTTAGTGGCTTTTTTTGCCAAAAACCCACTTATTTATATCATTAGCCTCATGAGTAAAATAAATTGCCCACATGGTAGCGAATTTCAGGTATATGCCACCTCCTTAACAAAAGATAAATCTTGTGGTTAGAAAAAGTCAAGGTGATAGAAAAGGATCATCGATCCTCAATAATAGTTGAACTTTGGTTTAATGTGAAGGGAATATCGAAATCGTTGGCCAATCTGAACTTCCTTCCGTAAGGTATTTCGTCATTAGGCGCTTTGAGCACTAAGCTTCACTTTTTATTTAGTAGCGCGATCATAGTTAGCTTTCTTCTTTTGGGTGACATCCTTACCGGCGCTATTAATTCCCAGTTGAGTCAAAATGAATATAACTGCAATATTCTCTGCTTCCCATTTTGCAGACATTTACTACTTCCGGTGAAATGTATTCACCAAACACAGGGTGAATGTGATTTCTGGCCGTGTCGATTGGCTATGGAGACCCCTCCATGCGTGCTCAGCACCTTTAATGACTTTTTCAAATGGTAAAAATCTTCGTGCTAGAAACGTTTTAGGCACGGTCTGATGTATTGGTAAATATTAATGTTTCAATGTTTCGTATCATAGATATTTCGATATGCCCAGCCTACATTGGAAGATTGGTCCATATGTTCGGAAAACTTCCTAAACGTGTTTATGTACTGAGCTTTTTTAAACAGAGGGTCGATTCTCGTTCTCCGTTATTCTGAAATGATAAAAAGAACTCTTTCATTTCATGCATTTATTTTAATGTGAATTTTCGACATTTCATTTTACTTCGTGATAACGTAGAACGGGACATACATATATGTACTTATAAACAGTTTGTGATACCCTCGAAATCTTCAATTTCTAAATACCCATTTTAATTTCATCTTTTTACTGGAACGCAAGTACCCAAGCCCAAGAAATGGTTAGCCCTAAAAGGTGACTTAGTTTTATTTATGTAATTTGGGTTAAATATGTTTTTTGTGAAATCAATGAAAGATTCCATGCAAATTATAACGAAACTCCTTCGAAGGAATTTTTAACCTACACCTCTGGTAGCAGTTTAGTGGGGCTATAAGGTCGCTCGCAGCAGCAACAGAGGAAAATTGAGCACACGAAAGCACGAATAACGTAGCGAAGCAGTAAGCAATTGAACGAGCGAAAATTGACAGCAATGGCAGCGGCGAAAGCAACAAAAAAAAAACAGGCAGTAAACAGAGCGACTGACTGTCAAAGTGTGCATATGTATGTTTATAAATCGTCTGTATATGCAGACGAGTGTGGGTCTCGGCTGTGTGTGCGTCTGTGCGAGTGTGTATTGCATCTGGAATCGACCATCCTAAAGCCAGGCATGATATTTTTCTTGTTGCTATTGCTGTCATTCTCCAATTCTGTGTATTTGTTCGCGCGTGTGTGGGTACACTTTTTCATTCCTCCATACACCTCGTTCGCGCCCGTACTTCGAATATCAACTCTGTACATACGTACATACATCCGCATCTATATTTTACCATACAAAGGAAATATACATACATACAAAAATATAAATTCAAATGCATACAGACACACGTATTTACAAATATATATATGCATGTACGTACGTGTCTACAAACATATGTGCTTACAAACGTACACCGTATGTATGCGTGCATGGCTGTTGGCATGAATATCTGTATCTGCCATATACCCATCCAACTCGACTTCACTCTACTCAGCTCGCCTCCCAACTGCTGCCTATGCCGTGGCAAGCTAGAGCGAGTACAAGCACTGTGATTGAGTGAAATAGCGCTAAATAAATAATATTGCCAGTTGGGTTTTTATATTTTGTGCTATGAGTATTTTTTCCTCAACAGCATCGAGTACAGACTTTCTATATGTTGGATTTTTAGATGGTGCTGGCTTTCTGGCTAGTCTATGCACTGAATGGGAACTGAACGAATAAAAAGCAAAAATAATAATAAGCTAACAGCAACTCAGCCAGTCATGTAGCTAGTAATCAAGCAAGTATAACATCAACCAAATGCGAACGAGCGCTAGAACTAAGCTCACACACACACAAGGCAATGAACGTACATATTTATGCCATAATTCTCTAGTCCAAACACGCATACACTCCTTCCCGAAGGCTCTGCGAAACGGATATGCCACACACATACAAACACACATATAGCTTTAACACAGATATGCGTCAAAAAGTCGCGCACCGATCGATAAGTTTGCTCAACGCCAGCCTGCACTTTGGTTGCAAGCGACAGGATCTGTTGTCAGATGGGTTTCGTTTGTCCGATTGGCAGGTTGGGAGTTGAGTAAGTGATGTTGCAGGAGGCTTTAAATATTTAACTTTATTATGTAAAGCAAGCCTATGCATAGAACTAAATTTTTTCTGGCACTTGTAAAATGGTTTCCTTTAATAATAATATTTTGCCGCTTATACTTCTTCCAAGTGTTTGGCCGAGCTTCTCCACCAATTTCTATTGTACACAAATGCAGGCACCTACAGTTTTACCCCGCCTCCGAACGGCAATCGGATTTCATTAGAAGATTTTGCATGGCAGAAATGCACTCGGAGGTTTGCCACTGTCTGCCGAGGGGCAACCGCTGCACATGGAAGTATTTATGCAGAAAAACCGGTCAAAAGTCAGATTTATGAATTGTTGCAAAAAGCCAGGAAAAGATACTATCTAAAGCTAAATATCTGATCTATTGAATGGTAGCCATGAAAACTCTCTCCGCTGCACAGTGGTTCGGATAGCAGATCTAGCTGGACGAAAATCAAAATTTTTTTGTTTTTAAAATACTTAATGGTACTTGGAATACATTCCTGACAATACATTCAAATAGAAATTGCATTTATTAAAGCATTAACATATGAAAACAAACAAAAAAAGGTAAGTCAACGCCGCCTATTTGAGAACTCTATTTTAAAAGCTAAAATTTAACTTAAAAGATTGCTAATTGCACTCACAGATATTTGCATAATTGCAAATTGACTTTATAAACAAAAAATTACACTTATTCCGCTATAGATTCACAGGTCATAACGCAATTTAGGTCCACATTGGTATAAGCAAATTTATTCTGAAAAATCATCGTTTTGATTAATTAAAAAGATAAATTAAAGAGTCGGAAAAGTAAAGGCCGCCGAAGGCCGTTATAAAACCACTTGCATATTATTCTTTACACCTTCGCAAATGCAGAGGGTAAGTTCGATAACCAAGTTTAAACAATTGGCTTTGATATTTACATTTTAGTGACAGTATGTCAAATCTCAAAATTCAAAAGTAATTATTAACAGCAATGTATCTGAATATAAATATAAGATCAGTGGCGGATCCACCGGGAAGAGGGGCGGCGGGGGAGGGGTTGTGTGTTAAAACAGAAAAATACTTGGAGTTATAGAAACTTTGGTTAAGTAAGAGTTAAAAAAAATAGTAACTCGCGAATTTTCTGCTTTCTGAAATTAAAAATTATACAACAGGCATGCAAATCTTTAAGCGCTGTTATAAATTTTTTTCTGAAATTTATTTGTGTTTCTTGCTGTGATCTTAAATTTTAGTCATGGTAAATAAAATCTTAAGAAGTGAGTTGTTTGACATTTGGAGAAGTGTTGCTGAAACTTCTAAAAGACAACAAGGTGTCCGTGATTATGTGATTAGTAAATTGAAAGAAATATCTGATGGAAATGCTCGTTCCGAAGTAAATAAAGTAAATTAATTAAATGACTTTAGATTCGTAATCAGCAACCCAGAAAACCCCCAGATACCCAGTTACATAGAAATCTACCGATTTTTTTTTAATTTTCGTCCGCCATATTGGATCCGCTATTTTGAATTATTGGTAAATGACTTTAGATATGTAATCAGCGACCCAGAAAACCCCCAGATACCCAGTTTCATAGAAATTACCGATATTTTTTTTTTATTTTTATACGCCATATTGGATCCGCCATTTTGAATTTTTGGTAAATGACTTTAGATATGTAATCAGCGACCCAGAAAACCCCCAGATACCCAGTTTCATAGAAATCCACCGATTTTTTTAAATTTTCGTCCGCCATATTGGATCCGCCATTTTGAATTTTTGATAAGTGACTTCAGATTCGTAATCAGCGACCCAAAAATCCCCTAGGTAAGAAGTGGTGTAAAGATCCATCAGCGAGTATTTGTTTAAATAGTTTCGTCCAGCTAGATTTGCGATCCGAACAACTGTGCGCTGCTTTCCCGTTAGCATAAACAGTTCATTGTTGCGGTCGTTCTTTTTCTCCATACTTTCAGTCGTTCTACTTGTTTCTTCGATAATTGTGTTTTAGTGAAGACCTTTTTAACATGGAATTTAAAACTAAATTTAAGTAAATTACTGTTAATATGGCCTTGTTCTAGACAATTTGAAATCGACCTATTTTGATATTTTTGTTAAATAATATTTTTAAATATTGGTCTTTTTGTTTACTTGTGAAGGTTTGTCAAAGTTTGGTTCCTTGATATATATGTAACTCCTGTTATCTTTGAGCAATCATAGCAAAAGTAATTTCCGCCGTTCCAAAGTACCACCCTGTCGGAAAAATCAACACAAAAATAATTTGCTCGCATGTGCTCCATTTTAATTTTCGAAGGACGAAATACGATGAGTCGTAAAATTGTAATTTTGGATTTTATTTACAAAAATGTTTAATGTATAGTTATAAGGAGAGTCGCATTGTTAACAGGTATGAGTCTGACCTTTAATTTGGTAAAAATTACGTTACGATTGAATACTGTATTTGCCAAAGATCTATGAAACACGCCGATCCTCCTTTTTTCTTTAACTGTAAAAATAACTTAAAAGTATAAGAAAACGAATGCCGAAAAGTGTATTCATCAACAGCTTTCATCGAAGCTATGTACCCAAATTTACTGATTTGCATAACCTTTAATTTTAAAGTCCTGGGGAGATTCTTTAAAGGACTATGAAACTGTACAATAATGCCCTCTAACGAGAACGATTGTGTCCTTAAAAAAATTTACCGCATTCATTTTTTATTTAAAGGCATTGTTATAAGGTGTTGTAATCGTTTTGATAATTATTGTAAAATTTTATTGCCTTAACAGCAAAAGGATCCTAGTTCATCAACGGCTATGGACGCGAACACGTTATTGCCTGCCATGCCACAGATAATGTAGGCGCACGAAACATTCATGCCAGAGATGCCATCGCAGATTTCATCCCAGCTGGAATCACATAGATCAGATATTTCATCACAGATACAAGCGCTGGAGATACGTATATCATTAGCGGATATTTCATCCCAGCTAGAAGCACTAGATACGAAGATTACACAAATACCGGACGGAGCAAAGAAAAACAGGACAAAGGTAGAGGAGTTGGAAGGTCGCCTCCGCAACCAAGCGTTAGGAAAAGTATCATGCGAGGTAATAATCCGGAATGTGGCGTCGTACTACAGCAGACATTGTGGATGAAGTCATCAAACGCGTGGACTTTCCACTTGGTCAAGGTATGAAGATAACCTCCAGAGAAAGATCGTGACATATCACGATAGAGAATTGCCGCTCACAGCTCTATTCTGCGCTAGTAATAAAAATTCTGTTACCGGTGAATAATGTTCATGTCAACTTGTAAACCCTTTTCGCATTCTGTGCACTCTTAACCGATAAAATTTGTTACAAGCTCATAAGCTGGTAACAAAGTATGGCCACGTGAAATCTGCAATGCCAGGATTTCCAGAATTCTGAATAGCTGTATTGCTGAATATTTTAACTGCATTACCAACGTACCTAAAATCGCGGTGACAAGAACTGGTAAAATTTTTTGGTAATAAAATCTTCCGGCTACAAAATCTTCGCTAACGTGCAGAATAGACCTGTTAGCGTTGTGTGTGACAACCAGTACTGCAGCAGACGGTTGTTCTCAGATGAAGTCCCGAAGATTCCACCAGTGACCAGCGAAGGAAGCGGTTAGATGCGCAGAGGTTGGAAGTGATGGAGGTGGATTTGTTTCGTCAGGTTCAGCGATGCAGGAAAAGAGTGACGGTTTCGCCAACTCAGTGAAAAAGAGGACGTCAGCACACGGAAATGGTCATGGCAAACCATTTAGTGCTCAACAGGCAGTGGTTTCGGCAGGAAGAGAGCCACTGCATCACGTTCTGCGTTCCGCACGTGATACGTGGCCGGAAATTGCGGCGGCTATGAAAGCAGTGGGCGCGTTCCGAAATATGGTTGGCAGAGGAAGCAAAGGCTAGCAGTAAAGCCTGAGGCCCACGATGAGGTTATACATGTCCAGTCAATGAAGTAGACATCGACGGAAGAGTGAGATACGGAACGACTACGGAAGTGTCAGCATGAGATTGAAGCTGAGGAAATGTCCGACAAGGGAGGAAGTGTTAGCTGAAAGCAACTTGAAAAAGACATACGGCACACAATGGGACAGCTTAAAGATGGTAACTGGTTGCTTACATCGGATATGCGGGAGCAAAGATGTCCGATGCATCTGGAATCTAGTATTTGTTCCAAAGTCAAAAGTTCCTAATGTTCTCAACGAGTTCCACCGAGCTCCGAAAGGAGAGCACCTGGGAATTATTAAAACCCCGAGAGAATTGGGTTGGTTGTCGGCAATCGGTCGCAGAATAGATTGCCAACTGCGCAACGTATATTGCAGCTAAATGGCCGAAATCAAGAAGTCATGGCCAGATTAAGAATTACAACTCAGATGCAACATTCGAGCGGATTGCCTGGATGTAGCCGGTCCATTTCCTATGAGAAGACTGGGAAGCAGATACGTTCTTGTGGTTATGGACTACTTCAGCAAATGACCAGAGATATACCCAATTACAAACCAGGAAGCTAAAACTGCAGCAAAGCTATTCACCTACAATTGGGTTGCGAGATACGGTATACGTGTAGAACTGAACTATGAACAAGCAAGAAACTTTGAATCTGAGGTCTTCCAAGAGAAGTGCCAGGTACTGGGTATCAAGCAAACTCGATCAACGGCTCTTCATTCCTAAGTAGATGGAATTGTGGAACCGTTCAACCGAACCCTGCAAGAACATTTGCGTCGTCATAGTCGTAGACAAAAATCAGAAAGATACATCCCAATACCCTTGTTCCTGATGGGACACCGGTCAGCAGTGCATGAAACAACGGGTAAAACTCCTGCAAGGGTAATCTTCGACATTGAGCTGCGTTTGCTTAGTCTCTGAGGTTTAGAGTAAGTGACGCTGCAAGGAGCATTGGAAAACAACCAACATCCTGGAGGAAGAGCTGAGGGAGATACATGCTCTTCTGAGAAAACATACACAAATTATGAGTGACAAAATGATAGCCAGGTATGATAAAGCCATGAATTCCGAGGGTTTTTAAGAAGGATATTTATTGTTACTGTACAATGCGAAGGTTGTCAAACGGCCGAATGACGTAGTGTATCGAATCCAGACCATTGGAGACCGAGAACCAAGATGAAGGCTTTCAGCGTTTGAAACAGCTAGTGTGTCTGAGGATGGTCAGACTTAGGTGGAGGGCAGTCTGGCGAATACTTGAAAGCGCGAATTGTTCGTCAAAGCAGACTAGAGAAGAATGGCAGATGGTTCCAGTAGAGAAGGACGGAAGTGTTCGATAACTAAGCATTCGATAAGAACCTTCTAGATCTGCCATGTGTCGAAAGCGCCCGGGTATATAAAAGC